AGTAAAAAACCACAACAGATAACATAATAACACAAATACTAGCAGCAGTTGCACATGGGCAATAGATTGCTTCATCAAATTAGGTTTGGTTTGAACTATTTGACTTTTTTCTAACCTTTGCCATTTTCCTTGTGAGTAACTGGATCATTTTTCCCCATTTAAAGGGTGAAAAACATATGCAATGAGTAACAAATGAGTAACGATGGCTCTAGAGTAGACAGTGTCACAAGCCAAAAAGGTTAGGAGCAACTGGTCTGAATAGAGGTTGAATATTACTACTGTGGTTCATTAATCTGTAGTAGACATTTGAACAGAGACTGAAGTTCAACAAGCTCTTGAAGTCTTCTTGAAAGTCTGTCAATTTCAGTGTACTCCCACAGACTGTTTTTGTGAAGCACTAATGTACACAAACACATGTGTGTGTAAAGTTGCTGTGTTGGATGTTTGTTTCAGAAATTGATTGTATGAGTTATGAGAGACTGCAATACTTTTTATTTTGGCAAACACCCAAAACATTGGATTTGTATGTTTGATGTTATGTGGTCAGATCAGATTTTTGCTTTCAGTTTGATTTTTTTAGCTGAGGCCTCGCTGGCTGCTCACTCCTATTGTGCCTTATTTTTGAAGGAAGATAAATATTTGTACTGTAAAAAGATCTATGTGTTAACACGAATACACTGTAAATAATTATGAGCTGGTTTAACAACAAACTGTAAAAAAATAATGGTCTCAGGAGAATTTAAACAATGCCTGTTGGAAAATCTGCTCGTATGCTAATCAATGTTTCTTTAGATACTTGTTGATTGTACTCTAGTACGTTCATCATTTCAAGTCAAAAGACTTCAAGTTAGAAGAAAACATGTTTATGCGTTCTGAAGTGGTCTTAAAATAAAAACTATGAATGTTAAGTTTAATGAAATTAACTTTAAATGAATAAAACTTGTATATTTACATTAAGTTAATAAGAAAAGAGTAGTTGATTCCTCAAATTCCTTTTTTCCAAAGCAACTTGTGCATTCACATGCTAACTTGTATTATACTATTAAAATATAACAACATCACAACAACACTTGGCTGCTTATTGATCTTCTTTGACCGCGCAGGTAAATCATGTTTTGACAGTATTCTTTACACACTGAGCCAAACAGAGGACAGAGCTCATAACCCCAGGCAGTGTTAGTGCCTTGCTCTATCTAGGATGCTACACTGTAAAGTCCAGCACTACTGTTAGAGAGCTCAGTGATAATAAAAGCAAGAACTCCGGAGTTATCTGGGTTTCCGTTGCTGCCAGCAGGTGAGACACTGCTCACTAAGCAAACACAAAAGCCAGTTTGACTAGACAAGAGTCTTCTTCGCTTCTTCCGCTCTGTTACATAAATGCAGTTGTCTCACCATCATGAGAATGGATCAGAGCGTAATGAATCTCCTGCAGGAGGAGGGTACAATATGCTCTCTGCTCTAATGAAAGAAACAAATTAACCACCACAAATTCTCTTGCTTTTGTTCCTAATATACCATTACGATACAGAGCCTATTTGAGAGGGATTACTGTTGGATGAGTTTTCTGTAATGGTCGGACATAGTAAACATTCAGCAAAGAATATAGCAATTAGCCTCAACAGCACAATTACTCTTGAATAAGACAAGGTAGGCCTATTCATTATCCCCAACATTTTACGCTGTTGAGCATCACAGCAAAAACAGACAATAGCCTAATGGCAGCAGTAAACGAGGCATTGTTTTTAACCAATAACAATTATTTCACCCTAATAAACAAAGCAGCATTTATTCTTGAATACAAGATGGGAAAAAATTACACCTCAGGGCAAACAATAGTAATCAAACAAAATAGGCTTATCGGCTTTGGAAGCAAAATAGTGTATTAAGCCACAAGAAGCACTACAGCTCTAGCAGACATCATCCTAATGGAGATATAATTAACTATTTAACTACATATGTAAAGAGAAGGAAATGAGAGTTTACATGCAGACCTGGAACTTTAATCAAACCAGCTGAATTACTACCAGCTATAAACTGCCTTGATGTATTCTTAACTTGCACTATTTTTGCATCATTTTTGGGCCATCAAGTCTTTTTCATTTTCAGAAGCTCCCTTTTGACACCATGCTTGCCACGTTTTATCTCCTTTTTTAAATGAGCTTTCATCAAATGAATAAATAATTCATGCCACTTAGCGCTCGAAAACTCTCATTAGAGGTAGTAACACCGGAGATGTCATATTGAACTAATGTTTAAGTGATAATACAGACAGTGGATAGGACAAAAATCATTTTCCTCACGTGAATTAAGAAATTAAACAAGATGTTGCAGAACATTATGATGAACACAAAAACAAATAGGTTTTTGTTTTGGGTCACACTTGTGTCTGGAAGAGGATTAAAATAATATTCTGATACTACAAATAGATTAATTTACTCCTGTTTGGTAAGCACCTGCGTCATCTGTTCTAAATGCTGGTATTTAACATAGATAATTGACTGTTCACTAAGCCCCACCAAACTTAGCTTTTGTTGCTACTTGTAAGCTTTCCATTCTTGCATGGTAGGCCATGTGCTTGAAAGAAAAGGGTGAAGCGAGTGAATTGCAATCTACAACTACACCACTAGAGTGCCACTAAATCCTACACACTGGAACTTTAAACAGTATGTTTCCCTTTTAATGTTGCAAGACAAAATGCTCTTAGTATGAAGACTAACCAGTGTTTGGCCAACCTTATGTTACCTTGTTTTGGGATTTTGGGAAGGCTACAGACCTTCCTAGTTACTGTAAGCTATGATTGGACAATCAATGTTCGGGGGAGGCATTAAGCAAAACTGTCAATTTCTAAAACAAAATCATTCCGCTTGTTGTGGTCAAGCACAGGATGAACAGGGGTCGTGAGACTGATTTACAAGCCAAGATTTCTGCCTTTCCAATCTCCCCCTGCCATGAATCCTGCTGTACAGCTCCGTGAGTGAAGTGGAGTGGGCTGCAGCCAGAGATGTTGCAATATGCTCCTGGCTCACGTTAAATTAATGTAGCTGCACTTTCCCGCTCTGATCCACACAATCTTTTTTTCCTCCTACCACCAGTGAATTTCATCCAAGAGTCAAGCTTAATTTTACCTTGAGGCAAACGCAGCAGCAGCGGGTCAGAAATTCTCTGTTTATGTGTGTGTGTGTGTGTGTGTGTGTGTCAGAGAGAGAGATAGAGATACTCACGACTTCTGTGGTGCAGTTGGTGGTTTAGCAGCAGGCTTGTTAGCTGATACAGTACATCGCTCTGAAACACAACAGAGGACATTCAAGTATCACTGTTTAGCATGTGTCTTGGGTTGATAGTGATTACTGTTTGACAAGGAGCCAGACTCAAATCACTGTAGATGGCTATTAGTATTGTCACACTGGAAAACATGACAATGCTCGAGTGTTATTTAATTAATGTGCTTTTGCTTTGCTTTGGTAACAGGAGTTTGGGTAACAACACAAAGCAAATGTCCCTTTACAATAAAAGTCAAACTGCCTGACAGCCACTGGAGGTGATGATTTATTTTCCAATACGGATACACAGACTTTTATAACACAACCCTTTCATTGTATTTTATATTCTAGTCAGCTGTGTTTCTTCTTTTCATATCAGAGAGGAAAGCCTGCCAGTTGGAAAACATTCCAGCTTTATATACATCACAAACATCTCAAAAACACTACAAGATGGGGGTTAACAGAGGAGCACCAGTTCAGAGGAGCTTTTGATGATCTGATGTGAGCCAGAACTACTGTGACATATTAAATCCAGTATTGGGCAATGATATATTGTATATCATGAGACAAACAAGCTTCTATCGACTTGGCTTGGATTTTTATGCACATTTATTCATGTATATGTGGAAACCAGACAACAAAAATATATTCCAGCGCACACCAGGATACCAGGATTGAAACAGCAGCGGAACAACGTGTAATTCACTCCTTGCTGTCTGGTCTGCTTTGTTGTCTGGTTTATTTTGGTTTGCTCTGCACCAGCTGGCACTCAGAAGAGAAGCCCTGCTGTGTACGGGTTTTTCTACTTATATTATGTATCACATATTTATGTATGTGTGTTTAGGTAGCAGTCCCCTCAATATATGCTGTTGTATTGGACAGTTGTGGGCAATGTTGCAAATCAATGAGCAGGTTTATGGCAATATTGGATATTTGCAGGAATATGACAAATTATCTTTAGTGTTAAGGCCAAATCTGTGAAAAAAGATCCCCTTTTTTCTTGTTGGAGAAATTTGAAATTTGAAAGTTGTCAGCCAGGGAGGGACTAATGAAAATATGCTGATGAGTTGCATTATGGAAGGTATAGGATCCAGTATATCTTGAGCTTGCGCAGGTCTAAGGACTAATAACCTCCTTACACCTGGTATTAACATGATCCATATCTGGAGATATTATCTGGATAATCAGATCTACAGGCCTTTGCATTTAGACTTGTTATTAATAAGCATTTCCATGACCTCAGTTCGGTCTGAATGGATCTCGTTGGCGGACTCGGCCATGAACAGGCTCTTTCATTCTTCAATCACTGTGGTTGTCTAGATAGGATATTCAGATATAGATCATATGTGAATGCCAAGTGTAAATAGTATCTAAAAGATTAACAAATGATTTCTTTTGAGTCTTTGAGTCTATAATACAAATCTACTAATAAATCTACTAATAAAATTAGGGTCATCTATTTTGTTGCAGTCAGAAATTGAGCAACATCTGATAAAAATTAAAAACATCAAAGTCATTGTTAGAACTGTGATGGTATTATTAGGTACTTATATCGGAACTTGGTATCGGCAAGTACGCAAACATAAATACTCATACTATTTGTATTTCTTTTGGTATTTATCAATGAATTACATAAACTGTGACAGAACAAACACAAGCATCTGATAAAAAGTCTGTACTCCACTCACCACTTGAGTGTGAGCTCAGTAATAAATGATTCAGATGTGTAATTGTACATGAATTTCAGCAAATCACAGTTTGGTCTATTTCAGAACCCACATCTAAATGCTGAGCGACAAAGTCTGTGTCCCGTGTGTGAGCATCCTGCTGCTGTTGATAATGAAAAGCATGGACTCCACAATCAATCAAACCAATTGAGCTGCGTGTGTACAATCACGTTTGCCTTATTATTTGTTTAGATGAACACAGAAAGATCAAATCTGACGTTTTCAGACTGTAGTGCTCCCATGGCTATGCATTCATTCGAACATCGGCTGCTTTTCTCACATTTCTTGTGGGTGGTATTGCCTTTATGGCCTCACCAGTGTTAATTATCACAGAGCTAGTAGGTGAGTGTTGATGCTGGGAAACTTACTCTGGGTGTTGTAGCCTGAGGTCACATGCTGTGACTCCTAGAGAGAGGGCGAGAGGAGGAGAGAAAGCCAGAGGGCGATGAGTTGAATGAATAAACCAACAGATGTCATTATTGATTTCACAGCAGCACAACGATGCCATTACACAAAATTCAGATCCTCTCATCTCCCCGCGTCGACGCTCCACCTCATTCTTAAAACTCTCTGGCAGGATTAGTGCGACGCTGGGGGCTGAAAACGCTGCAACAGTCTTTCCTAATTCATTAACTACCGGGTCAGATTTACTGCCTCTGTGTTTACATTGCTATTTCTTTTGACATCACCATCAGTGTGACGTTTTGCATATTAAAAGTGATTCATAAAAGCACTGTGCAGTGGAAAAAATACACCTGCTGTTTCAGTCAGAATATTACTGCCATTTTGGAGATAAATGCTGAATATAACACTTAATGTGACAAACATCCCTACTGTTTACATCACAAGGTGGCAAAAAGGGTTTTTTTGTAGGAGCAGGAGAAAGTTTTACCATATCTATCTTCTGAAGTGGCAATTTTTTAGTCCTTGCTTTTATTGTGGCTCAGTCTTTGTTGATTACTGTTGTCATGTTTCTGCACTTCACTTGTCAAACACCACCTGTCAGACAAATAGCGTGGGTGGTGCTGCAATGTCATTTCCTTGAAAATTTCTCGTGAAGTTCGGCTTTCTGTAAGTGACGTTCTTTTCTTTGAGTGTTGAGTGCCATGGTTCCTATCATTGTTCATGTTAAAAACCGACTTAATTTCCTTTTTCTTACGAACAGGAAATATTTAGTTGAACGCCACAGCCTGTTTCTCAGGAAACAAGAGAACAGCGACCAGCAAGATAGCTAGACAGACAGACAGTGTCCCCAATTCTTCCTCCCCCTGATTCTGTCGGTACCCAAACATTTAATGTAAAAAATACAGACTTCAGAGATGAAGTGGCTCTATTCAGGACCACTTCCTCACAGGAAGTAAATTAAACATGCAATACTTAATTAACAATTTAATTTCATTGGCCGTCACTTGTGCCACTGCGCAGGATGAGGCAACAGTAATCTGATTCAATCATAGCAATCACTGCCGCAGTGAATTTATGAATCAGATCTAATTAGCAGGCTGAAGATTCTCAGTGACAGACTGCAGTTAGTTTTATGATGAGCTACCAATAAGTGTGGAGTTTAAGTGAAGCTTTTTCAACTGTGTCACATCTTTTTCCACCAGAGTCATGCACAAATAAAGGGAAGAGATGTAGAACACGATGAACAACTTTTAAAGGTCCAAAATGTAATATTTAGAATCAGAATCAGAATCATCTTTATTTCTTTTCTTTTAATGACAGAAATTGAAACATAATGTGCATAACTATGTTTTCATTAGTGTATAATCACCTAAATAAAGTAACTGTTGTGTTTTCATTACCTTAGAATGAGCAGAGGTGGTAAAAGTACACACATTCCTTAAGTAGAAATACTGATTCAACTTATTTTACTCAAGTAACAGTGAAAAAGTACAGGCTCTGAAATGTACTCAAACTAAAAAAGTAAAAAGTACTTCTCTAAAGGACATTTCTACCGGCTGTTTCTCTGCAAAGCTACCTGAAACTTCTCTTGTCTGCTTTGTTGTTACATATTTTATGTTGTTTTCGTCTGTAATGTGTGATATGCACCAGTCTTAATGATTGATAATTCCCCTCAAATGCATTAAAACTAAAAGTAACGAGCCTGTTTTTCTGTTATGTATGGAGTGTAAGAAGTAGTAAGTACAGATATTTGTGTAAAAATGTAGGGGGTAAAAGTAAAAAGTTGTCAGAACTATTATATATTAAATATTACATTTCCACTAGCCCAGAAGGACAAACCAAACACTGGCTCTAGATAGAGCTGTTCACTTTTTGGTTTGCATCCAAAATTAATTAGCACTTTTAAATGACCAGTGTGTAGGATTTAGTGGCATTTTGCCTTTTGGAATTTGCAACTACATGAACACTGCTAGTGTATTTGACAACCTGGGAATGAGAACAGGCTCCAGAGTGTGTACAAGCACAATCATTTCTTTGTTTGGGTGATAATACACTCAATTATGAAAACATACCTAAGAATACTATATTCCATTTCTGCCAACAGATCCTCCTAAATGTTACACACTGGACCTGGAACTGCAGTGGGACAAAGACTCATACTAACCTTGTTGGGGATGGGGAACTTGGTCTGATCAGCTTTCCCAGGAGTGTGTATGGCTGTGAGAGGAGGAGGCCAGGAATGGGTCATCTCCTAAAAACACACACATTTGTATAACATTAATACAAATAATTGGACATTTTAGCCTTTCTGGCTGGAAAAGTCTAAACTAAATAAAGCATACAACTCACGGTAAATGTAAGTTTTTCCCTCATGTGGAAAGTACCTTGTGAATAACAATGATGACTAAAGTTGAGCAAATTTGAGCAAAGGGACTGCTTACACTACATCTTTAATGCAGAGGAGTGGAGTCAGCATTCAATCAAGGTTATGCTGAAGAGTCCCCCATCAGAGAGGACTTTAATATAACTTAAAGTATAAACTGAGAGGAGCATGGGGAGTTGGTGGCACACCAGGGATCAGTGTACTGAGAGTGAACTAAGTGCAGAGTTGTTGAATTACCAAAATAAAAGCTGACTCCAGTTGGTTGCAATGCAGCTGAGCAGCACAGCAGCAGCAGCAGCATCCCCTTTCAATTATTCTAATCACACAGTCTTCTCAGTTGAATTCCAGTCTCAATATGTAGAAGCTTAAATTAGTTAACAAGATAAACATATGTGTGTGTGTGTGTGTGTGTGTGTGTGTGTGTGTGCGTACAGCAGCTATAATCTGTTAGGTATTGGCTGTTTCTCTCTCTCAACAACTGTGGAAATGTACTGCATACATTGTAAAATCTGCTCACGAAGCAAAGTGAAGCCAGCAGCTAATTTTTAATATAAACACACATGCAGGTTCTGTCTTTCACCCCCTTACACACACACACACACACACATACGTATATAGTAGGGTATAGTTTTATATGTCTACAACACACATCCAACAGTATTAGTCTTTACAGTCTTGTTGCATTTTTTTTTTCATTGCTTCAGACACACACATACATCCACACTACTGCCATACAGCAGCAGGTCACTAGGTCAGAGAGCTTGAAAAGGTCACTGACATCACAATTTCCCATCATGCGTCTCTTCACCCCCTCTGGAGTGGATGACTCACATTCATCAGATGACTCATGTTTTCGTGCGTGCGTGGGTAAGGGTGTGTGTATAAGTGAGCCGCTGAACATTACTGAAGACTCCTGAGTCTTGCCTGTGTGTGTATCCCCCCCCTACAGTCGTCACACACTTGGCCTGACAACATACGGTGCGTTGCTAGGCAACTCTTCTCTGACATCATGTCCCTCCCTAGAAGAGTTCCTGTGTTTTGACAGACGGCACCCCTGATGGTGTGTGTGTGTGTGTGCATGTATTTGAATATGTGTGTGTGTGTGTGTCTATAAATGTGTTGCTACTTGCCATTATGCGATTAACTCAGTCTGTCACCCTCTCACACACACAGACATTAACACAGACCCACATGTCACTGTGATTTTCCACTTATTATCTACTAGTCATATTATCCACAATTACACCGAACACCTACGAGGAAGACAAAGACTTACTTTATTAAAATTTAATTTTTTTTTCACCCCATTGTTATTGTTATACACACACCCTAAATACACACATGCACACACAGGACTCACAGACATGCAGTTACTGGGAGGGATGTTATGGTGCCACATGTCTTAGCGTGGTCTGTGTCACCTTAATGGTTTCCAAGTCCCCTACAGACTGAGCTACTACCGCCCCAATAATAAAGGACTGTCCAGACCAATAACCATAACAGTAACTATAAATACAACATAACTACAGTGGCAAATGATACCACCATGGAGACATCAACTAAATAGAAGTTTAAAACCATTTCATTATTCTTCTTTTGGGGGCCAAATGTAAATGATATAACCAAAATGAAGGTGAATCTAAACTTCCGAGGGGCATTGTACATATGTATAAATATATATTACTAAAGGTAAACAACATTATGTAATATGGCTGAACTGACTTTAAACACAGTCATTGTCTTTTGGTAAGAAGCCATGTATGAGGTGTCCCAATATAGAAAATAATTGACACGATGGAGGATATATTCTATCTTGGGATTGATTATTATTGATTATTGTTTGGATACTTGTCTAGTTGCCATGCAATATGGTAAAGTATTAGCTTGGATACAAAATCTATAAGAGACAAAGGTGGTTTCTCACTAGTTGGCCTTTTAAAGGTGTGAGCGGTTTCATGCAGCTTTACCCCTGCACACAATATCTCTGATACACACTGTTACCTTGAATTGTGAAAACATCCAAAACAACAATGTTTCTGTGACAACCGGCTTGTAGCTGTGCCGTCGCAGAAAGGGAAAAATGAACCTCAGGCCGCCGCTCCGATTCACCTCACCTCACATTCTGAACTCCCCGATCTTTCCACTTGACATGGCTAAAAACCACAGACTGAATTCAATAGTGCACCGATATTATTGACAAAGGCTTTTCATGCAGCTCACAGCACACTATCTGTCACACAGCCGGTTGGCCAGCATATTGATTTGTGAAAGGGAGAGAGAGGTGAATGACAGAGGGCAGAGAGGAATGAAGAGAGGAAGACAGGCAGGGAGGGAAAGAGAGAGCTAGCACAGTGAGGGATTTGACAAACAAGAGAGAAGAGATAGAGACAAATATAGAGTGAGGAAAGAAAGAGATAACTTGACATAAATCAGTCAGGGAAGGTCCCTGTCTTTGCAGCTGCAAATTCTCTGACTGCCGAGAAGATTTGTGGGAAAACATTTCTGTTTTGACATCCCTCCGAAGAAACACAGCAACAATACAAAAAGACAAGAGAGGACAGGGCAGAAAAGAGGGGAAATTGTGGAAATATGTGTTGCTTGATGTAATTTTGATGACATGCAGATAGGACAAGAGGAGGATAGTGAGAGAGAGAGATTAAAGGGGGGTAAAGGAGAGGAGAAAAGTGGAAAAGATTTCTGCATGAAGTCACCCTACAAAAACAAAAACTTGTATAATCATTGACCTGAGCCAACAGATCTCCTTCTTTTCTCCCCCTCTGCCTTTCACTCCTCCTCCTCCTCCTTCTCCTCCTGTCCTTTCTTCCTTAGAACCAGACTCTCCGGAGAGAGACGAAGGTCTTTGTGAGCAAACAGAAAACAGCTGATAATCAGTGCAATTACTCTGTGTGTGTGTGTGTGTGTGTGTGTACCCAAGCAACATACCCGCAAAATCTCTTCAACACAGCTGGAGTCATTTGGTAGGCTGACCTGGAGAAAACAAAGAGAGAGACAGAGACACTGACTTCAACACTATTCATAGCACCATTACATTACAAGTGAAACAGCAGAAACAGAGTTATAAAAGTAAAGCAGATTCAAACACACCAGTCATAACTGACCCTCCGCTACGCCCGGCTCCCCGCCCGTCCCTCGCTCAGCACATATACAGTTTACGGCACAGATTCTTAATAATGTCTTAATCATTTTTGTCTGGGATTTCAGAAGGAGGTCGGCAAAAGTAGACATTTAATTTCTAGTCGGCAACCTCTAATTTTTGCAGCAGATTTTATTAGCTAGCTAGCTTAATGAGCTAACTTTCGCTCCATGAGCTGGTTGAGTTGGACACTGTCTCCAGCTGAGTTTTTAATGCTTCCAGTTGACTCTTTTTCAAACTAGAACGCTGTCAAAAGATCTCAAAACTGCACCTGATGGCTAAAAAGTTGCATGTCACAGAGAAGAAGTCAGCATCCTCAGTTGATACTTGTAAAGGACATGAAAAACCAGAAACATTGTTCTCGTATAGAGCTTCAGTATTGTAAGTATGACAAGGAGAAATGTCAGATCAGACTGTTTCACTGTAGGCTATGTGACAATTAAATGTGATCTCAGGTAAAGTTGCTGGGTTTTTCTGCAGTGTAAAGAGCAGGACTGCGTTGCACCAGCTGTGTGTAAGTTAGGGTGTAAAGTCGACACTAGAGGCTCAGTAACTACTAGTTAGTTTGTAACTAAATCAGCTACTAAAGGGGTTGAATCACGATTACTTGGGGCATAATGTAAGTAGTTTGGACGTAAAGTCCCATCGTCATAGTTAATGTGCACAATAGCTTTCTGGCTGGCTGAGCCACTTGGCACTGTAGCATATTGTTGTAAACTAACTCAATATTGAAATATCATATACATTAGGTCTTGCAAAATGGCAGAAATCATGTTGTTGCAAAAAAACAGCAGTTTTACCATCAGTGAGTTTAATTTTGTGACATTTTATGATTTACACTACCTTAGGGGATGTGTAACTATTTAGTTTGTACTATCTCCATGCTGCAACCACTTTTATTTTAGTAATGCATAAATCACCACTTAGTAATAATTCATGTTATAACTCGGCTAATAACTTAAACTTACACAAAGCTGGTGCAACAGGCTGCAGGACATAGCCGCTAACATTAGAATAAACTTGTGTGTTACGTTAGAGCAGACCAATACGCCACTCGTGTTCAGTTCTGCTTTTTGTGTTTTTAGTTTTGAAACACCGTCCAAACTCTTTAAATTCCAAGAATTGCTTTTACTACATCCTTGGGCACCACTTCAGCAGTGTGTACAAAGCTTGACAGACCAGCGGTGCCTAGTTACGGTTGCCATGCTATGCTCAAAAACGTTCATCAGTTTCAAAATGTCTAATTACTGCTTATGTTGTAGACATTTTGTTCGTCTGCGACAATGCAGTAACGTAGTTAGAATTAGATTTACCCTCCTCACTATATCTTGTTGTGATTAAGACATACTGGCTTGTATATGTGGGCAGAGAAAAGTAACGGAGGGACAGTTAGAAAGCTGAGATGTTTCAGTTTTAAAATTCAAAAAAGCCATGAAATGCCTGTGGTTTGGCCTGTGTCTTGTTAACCACAGGGCCATTTCAGCTCCACAATTCATGGGACTCACTGGAGTCTTATTCATGGAGAAAGAAACATGCTGTTTGAGCTTAAACATATGCAAGTACTCGGATTGAATTTACCAGTTCAGTGGCTGCACACTGCTAATCTGTGTTAACATGTGCCCTTGTCAATAAAGTCTTTCCTATTGAACAGGAGTGATCTGGACTGAAGTGACATTACACCAGATGGACTGTCAATTCAGACAGGTGTGTA